AAACCCTGGTGGCATAGTGTTTAAGAGTTCAGCTGCTAACCAAAAGGTCGGCAGTTCAAATCCACCAGGTGATCCTTGGAAACCCTATGGGGTAGTTCTACTCTGTCCTATAGGGTTGCAATGAGTTGGAATCAACTCGACAGCAACAGGCATATATATTAAAAAGACAGGAAAGAAAAAAAAGACCAAAATGGATGTCAGAAGAGACTCTGAAACTTGCTCCTGAATGTCGAGTAGCTAAAGCGAATGGAAGAAATGATGAAGTAAAAGAGCTGAACAGATTTCAATGGGCGGCTCAAGAAGACAAAGTGAAGTATTAAAATGTACAAAGACCTGGAGTTAGAAAACCAAAAAGGAAGAACACACTCTGCATTTCTCAAGCTGAAAGAACTGAAGGAAAAATTCAAGCCTCGAGTTGCAATACTGAAGATTTCTATGGGCAAAATATTGAGCAATGCAGGAAGCATCAAAAGAAGATGGAAGGAATACACAGAGTCACTATACCAAAAAGAACTGGTCAACATTCAACCATTTCAGGAGGTAACATACGATCAGGAACCGATGGTACTGAAGGAAGAAGTCCAAGCTGCACAGAAGACACGGGAGAAAAACAAGGCTCCAGGAGTTGACAGAATACCAATTGAGATGTTTCAACAAATGGATCAGTGCTGGAGCTGCTCACTCATCTATGCCAAGAAATTTAGAAGACAGCTACCTGGCCAACTGACTGGAAGAGACCCATATTTGTGCCCATTCCAAAGGCGATCCAACAGAATGTGGAAATTATTAAACAATATCATTAATATCACACGCAAGTAAAATTTTGCTGAAGATCATTCAAAAATGGTTGCAGCTGTACATTGATAGAGAACTGCCAGAAATTCAAGCCAGATTCAGAAGAGGACGTGGGACAAGGGCTATCATTGCTGATGTCAGATAGATCTTGGCTGAAAGCAGAGGACACCAGAAAGATGTTTACTTGTGTTTTATTGACTAGCAAAGGCATTCGACTGTGTGGATCATAACAATGTTATGGGTAACAGTGCAAAGAGTGGGAATTTCAGAACACTTAATTATGCTCCTGTGGAATCTGTACATAGACCAAGAGGCAGTCATTCTAACAGAACAAGGTGATACTGCATGGTTTAAAATCAGGAAAGGTATGCATCAGGGTTGTACCTTTTCACCATACTTATTCAATCTGTATGTTGAGCACATAATCGAAGAAGCTGGACTATATGAAGAACAATGTGGCATCAAGATTGAAGGAAGACTCATTAACAACTTACAATATGCAGATGACACAACCTTGCTTGCTGAAAGTGAAGAGGACTTGAAGGACTTACTGATGAAGATCAAAGGCTACAGTCTTCAGTATGGATTACACCTCATCCTAAAGAAAACAAAAATCCTCATAACTGGACCAATAAGCAACACCATGATAAGCTGGAAAAATACTGAAGTTGTCAAGGATTCCATTATACTTGAATCCACAATCAATGCCCAGGGAAGAAGCAGTCAAGAAATCAAATGACGTATTCCACTGGGCAAATCTACTGCAACCCCTCATATACTTTGGACATGTTATCAGGAAGGATCAGTCCCTGGAGAAGGACGTCATGCTTGGTAAATTAGAGGGTCAGCGAAAAAGAGGAAGATTCTCAATGAGATGGACTGACACAGTGGTTGCAACAATGGGCTCAAGCATAACAACGACTGTGAGGATGGTGCAGGAGCAGGCAGTGTATCGTTCTGTTGTACACAAGGTCACTATGAGTCAGAATCGACTTGATGGGCCCTAACAACAACAACCACTGCAAAGACCGCTTTAAAGTGTTCCAAAGCAAAGATGTCATTTGGAGGACTAAAGTGCACCTGACCCAAGCCGTGGTATTTTCTCTCACCTGATATGCATGCGAAAGCTGGACAATGAACAAGGAAGACCAAAGAACTGACACCCTGAATCACTGTGTTGGCAAAGAATATTGACTATACCATGGACTGCCAGAAGAACAAATCTGTCTTGGAAGAAGTACAGCCAGAACGCTCCTTAGAAGTGAGGATGGTGAGACTTCATCTCACATACTTTGGACATACTATCAGGACGGACCAGTCCCTGGAGAAGTACGTCATGCTTGGTAAGGTAGAGAGAGGGTCAGTGAAAAAGAGGAAGACCCTCAATGAGACGGATTGACACAGTGTCTGCAACAGTGGATTCAAACACACCAACGATTGTGAGGATGGCACAGAACAGGGCAGTGTTTCGTTCTGTTTTATGTAGGGTCACTATGAGTCAGAACCAACTTGATGGCACCTAACAACAATTGTACATATGTGTTATTGTAAACTGGCTCTTAACCCTTTCAAGACCCGACTATTTTCTGCTTTGAATTTTTTGTTGATACCATGTGTTTTCATTATAGGAAGCATGATGAATCCTTGAGTTTGTTTGAATTTTTGTAGGTAGTATGGATTTTTTCTTGTCCCCTCCCACAAGGCTACCCTTATAGACTCCTCCCTAGTTTTCCCACTAAAAACGCACGCATCTCATAACAATACCCTGTAGAAACAATAATTTGTGGCAGACATCCTTTTTTCTTTGTTTTTTTCTTAAACAAACATAAAGGCCACTGCCTTGCAGCAGCATGCACTGTCGAGGAGAAAGCACTTCCCAAGAAACCTGAGAGGTGGAAAATGTTGGTGGACCACTGTATATCCAGCGGTCACGAAAGGTAAGCCCACACCTCACTTGAGGTTACCTGTGGTATAATAAACAGAAATCTTACTTCCTATTATCTTTCTTCCAGCTGAAAGTTCACCTCATTCAAAGTTCACAATAGAAGAGCATCTTAGAAATCTAATAGTTTAACACTCAAAACCTCTGTTTTTGTTTTTTTAATCTTTGTTTTATACTATCCAAGAGAAGTTCTATGTGCTCCCAAGGAATTAACAGTGGTCTGTTTGAGGAGTCTCATTATCCAAGTACTAAGAGTCTATGGAAGTTAACTCCACTGCTATCAAAATTCAGGGATACAAACAGGCAGATTATAAGGCATATAGACATAGATTCTAATCTTACTTCCTCCAGTTATTAGGAATGTGGCTTTTAGTGTGTGAGTTACCGATTTAGTTCCTTCATCCTTTTCTTGATTCCTCCATTCATTCACTCATCCCACAAATACTTACTGAGGACCTACTAAGTGCCAAGACCTTATAGGTTCTAGTAATACATAATAAGCAAGATGGATGGATACAGTCCCTGACCTCAAGGAGAATATATCCTAGAGGGGATGTTGCCACTATTGTTGTTGGGTGCCATCCAATCCATTCCAACTCATAGCAACACCATGTGACAGAGTAGAATTGCCCCATGTGGTTTCCTAGGCTGTCACCTTTACAGAAGCAGACTGCCCATCTTTCTCCTGCTGAGACCCCGGTGGGTTTGAACTGCTGACCTTTCAGTTAGCAGCCAAGTGTTTAACCACTGTGCCAGCAGGGCTCCTTCTAGGGAGGAATAAAAGCTAAAACCAAACCAAACCCATTGCCATCAGGTCAATCCCAACTCGTAACGATTCTTTAGGGCAGAGTAGAACTGCCCGATAGGGTTTCCAAGGAGTGGCTGATGGACTTGAACTTCCTTGAACTTGGTTCACAACCAAGCTCTTAACTACTGCGCCACCAAGGCTCCAAGGGGGGAGGGGAAGGATAAGAGACAATAAATAATTGACGTAATTTTAGAGAGATACATGTTTTAAAGAAAATGAAATAAGGTCATAGGATGGAGGGTGACTGAGGACTTGTGACAGAGCTGCCACCTTCCCACCTGAAATCCACTCACTCTGACTCCCGCCACAGCAGTTTAGAACTGGGGCTGGGCACCTGTGTGTGGCTGTCATTGTTTCACATCTCTACTGTTACGGTACTCCCAAGCCAGACGAGTTTTGAGGGTTTTTTTGTTTTGTTTCATTTTTTCAAGTCCTTTTCCTTTCTTTCCTGCTTCAGGTTCAGGATAACCTTCCAGATACGTCCATCCATCTTTTGTTTTTGAAAGGCTTTGAAATCAAATATAATTTCAATCTCTTCTTATCTCTGGGGGGTGGGGTGGAGAGCTTGCTTTACTAAGTAGTACAATGTCAAGGCTTTGAATAATTTTATGAACCTTTTATTGGAGTAAATGAGTGTGTGTGTGTGTGTGTGTGTGTGTGTGTGTGTGTGTACAGCACAGTGAGTTTTTGCTTCAGTCAACAACTTGAACAGCCTGGCTTAGCAACTGTAAATCAGTTGGCCAAATTGTAAGTAGTTGGTGAACTGGAATGATCAGCCACACAATACATGCTGCAGGCAAGTAGCAAGGGGATCGGAGCGGAAACGGGGGTATACAAAGGCGTAGACAAAGGGCAGTTAGGCAGTCCTGATCTCAGGTCAGACAGAACTTTCCCACGCTGCCGGCACCATCGCGTCAGACCCGGCACTACACTACCCCTGCCGTAGGCTTACACTGCATGGCTAACACCAAACTTGCATTTCACTCAGAATCATTCTTTGATATGTAGACACACACACACACATACAAGCTAGCCCATCTGATAAATAGGAAGAAAACTCAGTATGTCTGTAAAGATGACACAGAATATACAACAGGAAAAGAGAGAGACAGCAATACTCGAAAGAATTCATCACAGCACTGAATATAATAGAGAAAAACCAACAACAAACTACGTGTCCACTAATAGGGGAATGATACACTAATCAGTCAACATGCATATAATGTATTACTATGTATTCATTACGGACGATGCTAAAAGAGAATAGTTCCTGACATGGAAAATATTCATATTATTAATTTAAAAAGACGTAAGATACTATGATGTCATTTTTTGTATTAATTTATTATTTTGTTGTTAAGACTATACACAGCAGAACATACACCAACTCAGCAGTTTCTCCATATACAGTTCAGTAACATTGATTACGTTCTTCAAGTTGTGCAACCATTCTCACCCTCCTTCTCCGAATTGTTCCCCCCCACATTCACCTAAACTCCCATTACCCATTGCCATTGATCAAGTGAATTCTGACTCAAAGCAACCCTATAGGACACAGCAAAACTGTTTCATAGGGTTTCCAAGGCTGTGATCTTTCTGGACACAGATTGTTACATCTTTTTTTTCCAACCACTGAACTTTAGGTTAGCAGCCGAGCACTTAACCACTGTGCCACCAGGGCTCCATAATATAAACTCACAACTCACAGTTTCCTATCTAATCATTCGGGTTGCTGTTGTCAATTTGATCCTATATAGATACATAGATAGATCTTAAGGGAGCACAATAGCCAAGGCAGACATTCTTTACTAATTAAGCTAAACTATCGTTTGGTTTAAAAAGGTCTTCAGAAGATATTTTAGATTTAAGGTTCTAAGATACCATTTTTATAATTTTATAAAAAGAAATAAGTGGACTGAAATGTTAAAAGTGGTTTTCTCTGGGTGATGTGACTAACAGTAATTTTTATTTTCTTTTTATTGTATGTTCTAAATGTTAAAGACACCAGCTACAATTTATTAACCATTTTCTATATGTCAGAAACATGTTTACTACATTTTTTTCCAGTTACATTATATGTGTTCACTGTAAAAAGAAGGAAAACTCGGATAACTATTCAGAAAATAAAATCACCCACAATCCCCCAAACTCCAAGATAATTAGGCAAAGCAAAATGATTAACAAAATGTGTCTGTACAATTTCTATGTTCCAATTGACTATTTAACTCAATTGGTTTCTGTTTCTAGGTGTAGTTTAATATTTTAAAAATATATTTGCACAGCCAAGAAAACATTCAGTCTGGCTCAAATAGGATATTGGATGTATTCAACATAGCATTAATATTTATTCCAAAATGATCAGTATGCTTTATCCTTTTGGCTGTGACTTTCTTTCAGATTGGGAAAAAAGGAGGTGGTGGGAGCTTAGCAGGAGGACATTCATGAGATTCTCTATTTTCATCCTGGTGCCAAAATCACACAAAACGGAAATAGCGACAAGCAAAATATCAGTGTTCTGATATTAGTGACTGATGTTACCAGCAGTCAAAAATTTGGAACAGCAGACCCGATAAAATGTATTCTGGACCTGATGTAAATTTTCCTTGAAGAGCTCAAATGTTTTATTCTTTCATAGCTATGTTATCCATTTATTTTCACCTCACGTTGCCGGAATTTGTTGGTTCCGTCTCTATGGAAACCATTCAGAACTGTGATAATGAAGTCTACCCACCCACATGTGCATGTCCCCCTCTATCGCGCCAGGCGGTACAGTATCACCCCTGGTTCAGATCAGCTATTGCAGAATGGAAAGGAGCAATATTTAAAATGTGCCCAAAACAGGGCTGAAAAGCAAAGAACAACATCGTCTCACTCTCTCTCAGAGTGCTGGCCGCTCCTAGAGTGAATGAACACATTCACTCACAGGCAGGAGGCGATATGGAGAATATTCTGTATGGCCACCAAGAGCCAGGCTGCTGGCCAGGATTCAGACGGCCGGGCTGTGGCAGTGCATTCATGGATGTTGGAGGCTTGTTTTTTAAGGAGGAAGAGACAGGCCATTTGCTTTTGAAATCCAACTTGGAGTTTACCGTTCAAACTTTTAGCAATGCCAGATGGGAAAGAAGCCACATTCTATACACTCAAAAAGCAGAAAAACTATTCTTAGGCAGTTACGCTTTTCTTTTATTAATAAAAAAGCAATGCTACAATATAGCATCTTGAAAACATTATGGAATCTTGAAGATGTTGTAAATCTTGACAGCAATATGTTGAGTGAAATAACTCAGTCACAAAAGGACAACTATTGTATGATCCCACTTACATGAAGGAGCCCTGGTGGTGCAATAGTTAAGAGCTCAGTTGCTAACCCACCCAGCAGCTCCATGGGATAAAGACCTGGTGATCTGCTCCTGTAAAGATTACAGCCTAGAAAACCCTATGGGACAGTTCTACTCTGTCATATGGTATCGACTACAAGTTGAAAATCGACTTGATTTCCAACAACAACCACTTATATGAAATAGGCAAATGTATAACCATTGCTTTAGAGTCAATTTCGACTCATAGCAACCCTATAGGACAGAACAGAACTGCCCCATAGTGTTTCCAAGGCTGTGATCTTTATGGAAGCAGACTGCCACATCTTTCTTCTGTGGAGCCGCTGGTGATTTTGAACCACGAACTTTTTGGTTAGCAGTCAATGCCTTTAACCAGGAGACAGAGAGATACATCTACAAGGATTGCTGGTGGCAACCAGAAGCTTAGGTAGACAAGGAAGGACCTCCCCTAGAGCCACACCCTGAATTTGGGCTTTTAGCCTCCTGAACTGTGAGAAAATAAACTTTTGTTCTTTAAAGCCAAAAAAGAAAAGAAATACTTTACCATCCTGAGTTCTCCAGTAAGTTGCGCACGATTGTCTGCGGCACCGAGCAGTTGTAATAGCCCATGCCGATATACGATCTCCAAATCTGGTTTTTGCTGGAAATGGCATGCAGAGTGGCAAGGATTTCATTTTCACCTGATAGTGAGAAGGACAGAAAACATCTTAGAAGAGAGCTCTATTTATAAAGACACTAATTTTGTTTGAATATTTCTGTGAGGAGAAGTGGACAGAAAATATAAGAATCTGACCACCGAGAGGCGTGGTCAACATGGCAGAGCAGTTAGACGCCTGCTATATCCCTCTTACAACGAAGACCTGGAAAAACAAGTGATTTGATTGAATATCTGTGAGCCCTGAACAAGGCAAGGTTAAGAAATCTGTCTGAGTGATACGGGAGAGGGAGACCGTTTGGAAGAGGTAAGGAGGGCCAGAGCCGTGGCGGTGAAACTGCAGCTCCGCAGCCACGCTGTCTGCGTTGAAGCAGGCAAACAGCTGTGTGGTGCGCGCTCGGGAAGCAGTTTCCACATCGAGAGAGACCCGGCAACAGAGATTCTGCTTGGACACTCCGAACCAGTGAAGAGAAGCTACCAAGAGGCTAAGATAAGTACATGTGCGCACCTTTTCCCGGGGATTAAAAAAAAAAAAAAAGCCCATTTTGGAAAAACCTCTCTCCCTTTTATCTCCTCCCTCCACAGTCTGCACCGGGAGTCCGCTGGGCCGGAAGAAGATCCCAAAAGGTGCCCTGACCCATTCTCCTGGCCTTGGAGAGGGAACAAATAAGCTGCTGGCTCCCCTAGGCTAGGAACACAGGGACGGCACAGCTCCTTTGCTGGGCACAGGTATCGGGTCCACAGACTCTGAGTGCCTTACAACCCTGTATAGACTTGTGGGGACCCATCTCAACAGCGTCAGTCCTCACTGCCACCATACAACAGGGCAAATATCTGAAGTTTAACTTCAACTGCTTCAGCTGTGAACTGGCAGATTTGTGACCCTTGAAACAGCCCTGCCCCTTAAGTAGGCACTTTTATCGATCTGCAGCAGGGGCTTGAGGATTGGTGGTAGCACTTAAAGTGCCTAGTCACCCGCTACAGGAGTCCAAGAAAAAGTGGTGCCCTCGAGTCTTTACAGCCAACAGAGTGGGGTGCTCATAGTCCGGCTGCAAAACTCACCTACCTACTCACCCTAG